ATTTTCAACAAATTTCCACTTCATAATTCAATAATGAAATCAGTTCACATCACATTCAAAAGAAAAAAGAAAAAAATAACTAAAATGAATATTCTATATATCCCACATATCCTACTGACATGTCTAGTATTGCCAGGTCATTTTCATGCCTAACAGAAGATTTTCTTTGAGAAAAACAGTGAAAAACATATTTACTAGATAGGGGAGAATGGGGCAATAATGGTCAGTGGGCAATGGTAAAGCATGAACGCGTGTGAATTACGTCTCTCTCGTCACTGCTTGCGAGCGTTAAGCGCCCTGTGCTGATATTCCGCACGCGACGTTCGTGGAGAGTGTTTGTTATTTTCGAGCCAAATTGATGTAACTTCACGTCTCAACGAATTAACGAGGTAAGATGTGAAATATTCTTTAATCCACGTAAACGCTATCTTGTTATTTGAAACTTTATTATTATTATACTGAATATATATTTGTTTGTGTCGAAAAAAGGTTGTTGAGGGTTATCGTGGTCAACTGACCACCATTGCTCGCAAAGTTATTATGAGTGTCGTATGGTAACCAAGTCTAATTAATTTGTTTTTAGATGCCAAAAAAAAGATCCAGAAAAACGCATAAGGCTGCATGGTCTTCAAAGACGTTGGATAAGGCTCTGATGCTCATGGCTAATGGAACATCTATAAGAAAAGTCGCCAATCAAATTGGAATTCCATTTTGTAACCTGCAAATTCGAAACAAGAAGAAATTGTTTGAAAAAGATGAAAAGAAAAAGATTGAAATATTTACGGTTGCACATATATTCAAGTAAGAAAACTGGCTTATGAATATGCAGAAAGTTTTAAATTGCCACATGATTTTAATAAAAATAGTGAAATGGCGGGACAAGCTTGGCTTGAAAGCTTCTTAAAGAAAAATGGGAACCCAGAAGCCACTAGTATAACGAGAGTAACGGCCTTTAACAAAACAGAAGTTTCACTTTTCTACAAGAAGTTGGAGAAACTCATGGAAACCTATGAAGTTACCCCAAAAATATTCACAATTGTGATGAGACAGTCCAAGTCCAGTCAACCGTCCAAGATGCGGGAAAAATACTAGCCCCAAAAGGGATCCCTTACTAGTTGAGAGGAAGGCAAAACATCTCCGTTATGTGTACGATGAGCACTGATGGGTCATTTATACCCCCAATGTTTATCTTTCCAAGGAAACTACATTTCCCTCCTCTGGAAAAGATGGCCCAGCTGGTGCTATATACCGCTGCTCATAGAATGACTGGATCAATGAAACCATTTTTTTTAATGGCTTCAACATTTTACAACATTTGATAAACCTTTATGCAGAATAACCAGTCTTGTTGATACTAGATAACCATGCGAGCCATGATATTTACAAGCACTGCAAAGCCCACAACATTCACATGCTATCCTCACCACCAAACACCTCCCATTAAATGCAGCCGTTGGACGTGACGTTTTACGGACCTCTCAAGGCTGCTTACAAAAAATAATTTGATTGCTTTATGAAGAGCCACTTTGCAGAACGAACAACTCCATACGATGCTGCATCGATGTTCAACAAAGCATATTCGAACGTTGCTTCTATAAGTGAAAGAGAGTCCGGATTTAAAGTCGCTGGTATTTTTCCAATGAACTCAGATGTATTCACTGATGAAGACTCTTTATCTGCTGAAATACTGCAAGATTAACCAATGGTTATTCAAGATAACGAAAGATGTTCTTTCCTTGAGACAACTATAACTCTGACATCCCAAGAACCACTGGCGAATAGATCAACACCTGTACAAGAACCCCTGGTGGATATTGAACAAGAACTTTGCAACAACGCCTAAACAGGAACCACAGGTGGTTGCATCAACATTTCTTCATCTGGGAAAGAAATGCCGCCAAAAAAGCGACCAAGGTTTGAAAATTCCATCAAATCAATTTTTCTACCAAAACAATATCTGTTAGTACAAGAAAAAGACGAGAAAAGGAACATTCTACCATTCTGTCCTTCTTCAACAAAGCATATTCGAACGTTGCTTCTATAAGTGAAAGAGAGTCCGGATTTAAAGTCGCTGGTATTTTTCCAATGAACTCAGATGTATTCACTAATGAAGACTTTTTATCTGCTAAAATACTGCAAGATTAACCAGTGGTTATTCAAGATAGATGTTCTTCCCTTGAGACAACTACAACTCTGACATCCCAAGAACCACTGGCGAATAGATCAGCATCTGTACAAGAACCCCTGGTGGATATTGAACAAGAACTTTGCAACAACGCCTAAACAGGAACCACAGGTGGTTGCATCAACATTTCTTCATCTGGGGAAGAAATTCCCCAAAAAAGCGACCAAGGTTTGAAAATTCCATCAACTCAATTTTTCTACCAAAACAATATCTGTTAGTACAAGAAAAAGACGAGAAAAGGAACATTCTGTCCTTCACCTCAATCAAAGACAGTCTTATAGAAAATAAAAACAAAAAGCTAGACAAGATTTTCAATGAAAAGAGAAAACCAAAAAGCAAAGGGGAGGAAATAAACCAAAGGGAACAGGTGAAGTATTGAAAAGGCTAACCGGAAAGTTATTAAGGAAGACAATGACTCGCATTGACTGACATAGATATTGAGGACCTTTGCGTAGGTGATGATGATGAGGACTTAGAAAATATTTGTCTTATATGCGGAGAATTTGGCCAAAACAACGAGTTATGGTACCGGTGCACTTTCTGTGGGCTTACTCTGCTTGCACTGGTTGGGATTCCGCTACAGGATACATATGTGACATGTTTTACGCTCTTTTCACATTACATGATTTACCGCGTGCGGGAAAAAATCGCCCGATTTTTAATCGTGGTTTGCTACTTTTCACATTGAACGATTTACAATCGTACATTTTTATCAGTTCACTGGAAAATGTGGTCTGGTTAAGTTATAACAATGGATCGTGAACAAGTTATTGCGTTATGGATACTGTATCGGCATCGGAAAAGACAAAGGCGCAATCGCCTTCACTGGATTCACCCAATTAATCAGAGACGAGAGGAAGTCGGGATGTTCCACACATTATTTGAAGATCTTAGAAACGATGACCAAAAGTTTTTCAACTACTTTCGTATGTCAGTTCGCTCCTTTGACGAGTTACATGGGAAACTGAAGAGTGTTCTTCAACGACAAAACACGCAGTTCAGAAACTGTATACAACCTGTTGAAATGCTGGCAATATGTTTAAGGTAAGCATTAAAATACAGCTTTGTTATTATACCGTTGTTTGAATGAAAATGCCATTGAAGTNACGAGGAGGCTTGGAAGCAAACAATATCAGAAGTGTGCTTACCTCATATTTTTTGACAGATGTCGGAAGTGTATCCTGGCAAATGTCTAAAGTATAATTTGTCATATATGTGAAAATAAATAAATAAATCAAGATTTCTAATGAGTTGGGTGTTTGTATTAGTAATAATTATTAAACTTTGTTGAAAACAAGTACAATAATACAAGAATGAAAATAAAAACTAGGTATTTCACCAATATCAGTCATTCAAAAATTTTTAAATCTAATAATTTTTACTTCAAATATCTTAACTTGAAAATGGCCTCATAGCCGAAATATATCGTCAATTTTTTATTTTCATTCTTGTATTAAATAAATGAAATAAAAATAAAAAGTGTCTCTGTTGTAGATAGAAAATCAAGTGAAGTATAAAATACATACAATACAAATATAATAGAAATAGGTATAGTACTTACCAAATGCATTTTTCTCTCCATCGCTATTGTTCTCCAAACCCGGATTGAGTGCTAAACATACTTCTTCTCAGGCTTTCCTTGTTGCATTTCTATCCTTATAAATTTCTAAAGTTTTGTCCCATAACACAGGTTTTGCTTCAACTAGCGATATCAAAACTTCAGCGTCAACCCCTTCCATAATTTGCAAACAATCCACCAAAACTGAACGCAGTAGAAACAACACTGGGGATAGTGTAATGTGAAAGGAGCGTTAGAAGTATTTCACCATCATTGTCAACATCATGACTACCATTGCCCTCACGTGCGTACAATGGTGGTTTCTGTTTAGAAATCTGCACTGTTTCATTTTTGTACCTATCAGATGAATATACTCCAAATATGATTATTTTGATCTCAAATTATAATAGTCATTCAATGTAGAATTGGTATGTAATGTTTCTAATGAAGCTATGATTTATATTTTGAGTTTTATTCTGAAAATTTGTGAACTGACCATCATTAGCCTATCCTCCCCTACACACTTCATGGTAATTTTCACTATTCGTAGTCATTTGATCACTATTTTAATAAGTGAACTGCGTCATCAGTAGATTTCAACTCCCAACAGTAGACCAGTATCTTTAAATCAAAAACAGGGGATCCACTTCAAAAACGTTATACCTGGCAACACTGCGCCCCTTGTGAAATTTCTTTTTCATCCGTTGTGGATTGATTTAAAATATTTCGCAATCTAAATGAATTATGGATTTCTTGTGAACAATTCGATTTTGTCGCTCACAGCATTGAATGAGCGCACAATCACAAATATCTTAACATCAGTTGTCTTTAAGCATTCCAAGACAGTTATCATAACCTAACAAACTGAATATCATCAATTTGTTCTTGAATTATGAATGATGTTCTAACATGATTTTGCGATTTTGTTTTATATATGTGTTTGGAAATGAAGTCAATATTATTACTGGTGTCATTCATTTCACAAATGTTTCAATAATCAAACTGTATTTTTTGGAGAGAACAAAATCCGAGTTGGTCGGATGAAACTTGTAATAGCAAACGTTTCGTCTTCTACTGCAGCATACATCATTAGTACTATATGCGTTGACGAAGATTGCTGAGACTTCGAGATATAACCATCGTTCTACAAGTGCCCGAAGTTCCATTCGATCACAGCCTTCCAGCCTGGATTTTGTTTGCTCTAATCGTGACTCCGGCTGTGAAAGCGCATGTTCTTATATTGAATTTTTTTTTCAGCACAATCGTTTCGTTCAAGAAGCCAAAACAAGCGAATCTGAGGTGCTTTTTATAGGTGATTCGATTATACAACAATTACAGTTCAGCACACTATGGACCGAAAAAATTAGTGCTCTACATTGCTTGAATTTTGGAATAGGTGGAGATAGGTGAGAACTGAAAATTAAAAGCAGTTGATTTTTTCATTTTTTGAAATGTGAAAGTTTGAAGCAAACCTTCAACACATGAGGTGGACAAATTTATCGAGGGGAATGGGCTTGATGCATTTCTATATGTCTGATCCCAAACCATTAGCCACTAGTTTCCAGTTATGAAAATGAATAGTAATGGAGTTATCGAATACTCAATGCAAAATCTGTTTTTTCAGGAGACAGTAATAACTGTTCAGAAAGAAGTTAGCCATATTCCTGTTTTCCATTTCAAAATTTGTGTTGTGAGTAACAAATAGGCCAAACAGACGTTAGATGATAATTAATTTAGATTGGTAAAAAAATTAATCCTTGAGTTCTTTGTAATCCAGACAAAAGTACTTGTCCAAAAGATTGGAAAAAGGAACTAACTATTAATCTGAACTCTTCATTCAAAAATGATTTTAGAAATAAGCTTTCAAACTGATGCTGACCAAGTTTCAACAGAAAAAAGATTAAAATATAGAAAATACACGGTTATCTAACGGTCAAGATAAACGGTTTGGAGATAAGTCTGCCAAATTGTTATGTATCTCTATACCTAGAAGTATCCCAAACCTTTCGATTTCATTTGCAGGCAACTGTAATGCTTTTTTCAATAAACCCAATAATAGAGATACTGATCACATGTCACTTTCAAAATAACAATTTTTTTGGCTCCAGATGATTGAGCTCAAACAATTTTTATGTTTTTCATACTCAAACCCATTTTAGATACCGGTTCACAGATTGTGATCACTATCCATTTATCAAAAGTCATATATGAAAATTTCATGCAAATAGGATAAAAACATCACCTCCCATTCAGACCATGTTCTAAATTATGTGGCTTACATAATACGATTCGAATAATATACAGTAATAATAAAATGCATCGACATTATCCATGTACCCCCCAATAACATTTTCAAGCTGTTTATAACAAACTATTCATATATTTTTACTAGCAACTTTCACCAGCGCTCACACGAAATATTTGACGTATACCTTATACCTCCATTTTTTCCAAATGAAATACTGCACATGTTACTCGATGATAATCAAATTTTCTATAGGTGAACATTTTTTTGAAGTAGATTTCATCTATTACAAACAAACAAATCAGTTTCTTATTAGTTCAGATAGATTCTGATGAGGAGGGTATTAATCTGTTTGCATGTAATTTATCAGAAGATATATTAACAATAAAGTTTCATATTAATAACAATGGTTATCTATTACTTGTGTTAATTTGTTATGATAGCACAATCTCTGAGAGTTCATTGCCAAAATTCAATATTTATATAAAAGTTGAACACATAAATGGTTTGAATATTTCGGGAATATCGACTGAGTTTTCGACTTGATTGCATCAAATATATCATTATTATAAACTGGTGATATTCCTTTATTATTCCTACATAAAACTAATATATCAATCGTAGTTGTTTATATTGTAATTATTTTAACTTTTTCACTTTTCACATCATTCGAGAAAGACTTGTTTTGTGATTGACTTTATTTAATTCCAGTCAATTATTTGTTGGTGTTCCACAGTTTTTTGTGGTTTGCACCAACTTTGGAAGTGTAGCACAATAACGGGAGAATAATACAGAAACTGGAACAAAACGAACAGAAATAAGAGGCATAAAAATTTTTGAATTCAAACAAATATATTTAAATAAATAATATTACTGATGTAATGAATTTACCGAAAGCCTAACAAATAACAAAGAGTCTTCTTGCGTAGAAACGGTAATAAAATATGGTGTTCCTCAGGGCACAGTCCTGGGGTCTGTAGTTTTCAAAATGTATCTCAATGATTTGCTGAAACTATAAGGAGATGTGGTAAGTTTTGCTTACAACACAGCAATTATATATGTACACGAGGATTGACAATCTTTAAAAAAAAGCCGAAAAATAATTCAGGAGTTGTTTAAAAATAGGCTTTCAACAATGAACATCGACAAAACACACTTCATACCTTTCACCTCATACGTGAAGAACTTACCAGAATACGACGCTCTTCAAATAGATGGCAACCAAACAATATCAATGGTCCCACATAATAAATATTCCGGAGTATTCATAGACTGTAATTTGAAATTGGACATCAATATCGCCTTCGTCTTGATAAAACTACGAAGTACATCATCAAAATTCAAATATTTAGCAAATATTTTAAAAATTGATCAGCTACGATTATTATAGTATGCCNTGAGCAAGCGCAGTGAGCCAAGAATGACAGCCTTCTGCATCTGTGCGGCTAAGATTTCTGCCTTAGTACGGCAAGCCGGTATGATTTTTGAGATTCGAGAATTCCACCAAGGACTCCAATAATCATAACAACCATCTTGACAAAGTGATCTGGATAGACTCTGCGGAGTTCGAAGAGAAAATCTCCATATTTTATCCGTTTTTCCTCCTCTTTTCTGACGATATTATTATTAGTATCATTACTATTTTTTTTACCGTGATGTGCACTGGTTAGGCCCTATCCCCCGAAGCTCCGATATCAACCAATTATCACTCCCCACACCGTGGGGTAAGTGATCATTGGGTCCGAGAATCATGTTCCCTGAGCAAGCGCAGTGAGCCAAGACTGACAGCCTTCTGCATCTGTGCGGCTAAGATTTCTGCCTTAGTGCGGCAAGCCGGTATGATTTTAAGATTCGAGAGTAGAGAGGACATCATTACACCAGTGTCGAAAACTATACCGAGTTCATCAGCTGCTCGGGCAGCTGCCTAAATCATTATCGTTCTAACGCCCCCCGCTGCAGAGCGACTCATCCTAAGGTATCTGTGCCAAAAAGATATATGACTAGGTCCACTTAGTATCACTAACGAATCCTTTGAGATAATGGACTCCCTCTCGTCGTAAAAGTCTTTGTCACGTTAATGCGGATTTCTTCCGTGATGAACCTCTTTCACCTACTCATGAGATCAAGAATCTGACCCTAAATCTACAATGAAGATAGACGCCGACTATAAGACACCAATGGTTCTCTTTGGAACATCGGTTCAAGACCAAGAGCTTCTCGGGTCTCCTACTGTTAATCTTGTTAACAAATTCAGGAAGCTATGAAGCAACTTTTCGCCTCCTGAAAAGCAGGATAACTTACGAATCTGCCTCCCAATAAACTCTTGGGCAGCAGAGGAGGAATATGCATCAGGAAAAGGAAAAAACCCATAAGTACCTACTCAGGGGTTTTTCCCCTCACGCTCACGCTCACGTTCAAACTATTAGTTACCCAACCAACATGCGAAAAATTCCTACATTGCTGAATGTGCGGGATCGTTAGCTATAGTTAATTTACAGATGCCCTCGTATTGGAAGGTTACTGCTGTTATTGCACCTTGAACATCCAACAATCTCAAAATATCGACTAATCAATTGGAATCTCTTCGGAATGCCATTATGTCTGCCGTTCCAGAGCTGAACATTGCGGTTGAGATAAATATGGCTAGCTGAGATCGATGCAGGTTACCTGAGATGACCAGAAGATCGTCTCCTTGCCTATGAATGCAGTAAGTACTCTGCAGCTTTGCGAGAGCATCTTCCTGATATTTGTCACAGTAAACCTATTTTGTTTATGGCTCTCCAGCTTCCTGAAAGAACGTTTCCTGCAAGTTGCCGTCGATGGATATACCTCGAATACTTTTACCATCAACGCTTCACGGGCAGCAGGAGGTTGCATATCTTAATGAGGATCTAGAAGTGATTTTGAATTGAGGTAAAAGTACCCAGGTTCAATTTAATACTACAAAAACCCAGGCGCCGTTTTTTTCCAAAAAGAATAATGTCTCCGAATCGGATATAATAAATCAAGATAGACAACTCCGCTTTCTGCTTCGATAAGTTTGTTGGGGGATTAAAATGGACACCAATACGTCTTGGCACATTTATGTCGCTGGAATTACAAAGGATGCTTTCCAAAAGCTTGCAACACTGTTCCGAACCAGAAAACTACACACCTCAGCAACTTTTGAGGCTTCATAAAGCTCAGATCAGATCTTCTATGGAATATTATTTTCATGAATGGAGCTCATACCCTGAAACTGCTGGGCTCCATACAGAAAAGGGTCATCTGCCTGAATGGAGAAGCGAATATCACTTGCAACCTTGTTAGTCTGGAACATCGAAGAAAAGTTGGAGATTTGTCTCTCTTTTATAGAAACTTTCACGGAAAGTGACGAAGTGACTTGGCAAATTTGATTCCACCAACGTCTGTGTCCGTCGGTTATAATTCAATGTTCAGAGTGNAACACCCAAGTCAACTTGCCAAGTTTATGTCAATGTTGGTGGTTTGACCAATCAACCGACAACTGCGGAAAATGTCCGTGTAGGACGAAACTGCAGTAACGTTAGTTACAAATAAAAGTGTTAAAAAAACATAGAAAGTTTCATTTCTCTTTTCTTCATTATATTTTCCTACCACGTAATAACGGCTACATCCATCAATTTATTATTGTGAGTAGTTGACACATCAATGTTCAGCAATATATTGAGAAAAATATCATAACTACCATGTGGAGTAAAAGTTTGAAAAATATTTCCTTTCCTAAGATAAATTTCATTTTACACATATTTCTTTCAACTATGAACAAATATTTCAATTTTAGAAACTGTAAATCGTGATTTTATATAAAATGCTTATTATTATTATTGAAATGAATAGACTAAATATTCAAATCATGACTTTTCTGTCTGAATCGATAGAACGGTATATTTTCAAATTTGTTGTTAAGAATTCAGCTACAATGCTGTAGAAGACAAATCTGCTTCTTTGCTAACGTTTGAAGATGAAAATAAAAAGTTTTGGACATACTGACAACCACAAGTACAGATAATTCTCATGTTCATGAAATAGATGGCATGTCATAATATTCAAAAAACCTGAATAATCCAATTAAATATCTATAACAATTTCTAAGAAGTTGATCTCAGATATATAGTCTAATTTTGCAACCTTCCCTAAGTTCACTTACTTACCTCTGATGGGACATCTGGAATAACATACTGCATTATCCCTACCAGCGCAAAAACAACATGCTGAAAAATAAATATATCACTAAAAAGCTTCTTCTGATATCGTTGATACAATACTTCAAAAATAACCACGAAAGCTAGCCGTGCTGCGAAAACGTGCCAATATTGGGGGCTCAAGCCATATGGATCAGTTTCATTGGGTCCATTTCTGTAGCCTGAAATTTAGTGTGATTATTATGTATACATTGTTGGTTCTCGGATTATTGATACTTTCAAATATATAATTTGAGCATTTATTGAATGCATCTTCAAACTAAATTTTATAACTAATTGACAATCTTTGTACTTGATAACACTTCAACCACTTGTGTTAACGTAACTCACTCAAGGACTGTTTGAAGGTGGTTGACAATGTTTCGTAATGCATTTTATTAGTTTGGACTTCTATTGTCTAATATGATATAAATTGATTTGAAATCCCTGAAAAATCTATAAAAATTGAAAAGATAGCTAAGAAAAGAACAATTATATTAAATACAAAAAAACTGAAATTTCGATGAAATGAAATACAAGCAACAATCAACACGAGATGAAAATCAAAAATTATTAACGAGAAATGAAAATTAAAAGATTTCAAGCCAAGTTACTTCACGACCTTTCGATTCGGGTGATAACTGAAATGTTACACTTGGACCCAATTCTTCTTATGCTTTCCGACAATCCTCTGATGTAGGGAAATACAAGTACTGGTTGTGGCGGCGTCTCTTTCTTGTGAGGCTCTTTCTGTCTTCTTGCCAAAGTCTGTTACATCATCACTTTGGAGTAACCATTCGTTGAAGGTCATTTTTGCTGACGCCTAGTTCCTTTTCCAGACCTTCTTTTGTATTACAGAGCAAGAAATCAAGGTCTACTAGAGTCTTAGACGTATTGGTGAAGAGGACCAACACTAAATGGGAAACATATGTATACCGAAAACCTTTTGGATTTAGCAGAAATACAGAAGTTTTGCAATTGAAAAATCAGTTGAAACAACTTCTCAAACTTCTTGTTTTATTATTTTTATATTTTTTTAATCAATAACATATCGTTTCTATGAAAACATAAGACATATTTCAATGAGTCAAAAAAAATCAAAACTGAAATAATACACAGAGTGAACAAAGCTGTTTTCCAATATAAATATGATAATTTGATTTCCAAATAGTTACTTTTCATTGGTATTCAAATATATCCGCTGACTTTATTTCTGTATGTTCTATGTATATCATAGTAAAGAAAATCTTTTCAGAATGGTGTCATATTAAGTCATTATTACTTTCGGGACTTTGAGTACTTATCTTTCAGTTTATATAATTCAACCCCGCCGTATTTTATATAGAAAGTGATTCACTCTCCATCCATACAATTTAATTGTATTCCATCTTCCACCATATAATTTTTATAATATTTTATGAATCACTGTGAGTGAATAAAAACAATTATAGATTGGTTATGTCATCTGACAAACTTCGTTTAACATTATATCCTCAAGACTTATTATGACGTGTATTGTTATAATATACTGATATGACTGTCTTTTGGGATACCTTTGTAATCGAAAACTGTTTCAAAGAATTCTCAATGGAATATGCATTTTGTAAAATATTTTCCACTCAATTACCTCAACTATGAAGAATATTTTAATACAGTACAGATAATATTAGTATAAGAATATTCAAACTTGAAAAAGGTCAGTGGTGGACTAATCAAACTTCAAAACTTAAAAAAAAAAACAATCTAAAAGAAATTGAAATTTACTTAGTTCTCTGACACCTTTCATTTAAAAATTGTTTGTTTCTCATTTTGATCGACAAAATATATTTCTGAATATCAGGGCCTACATTACATAGCAACAATATGTTAGTCGAAGAAAATTTGAAAAACATATAATAAACACCGTAAAAAACATTGAATGGATAAAATATCAATATGATGCCTCCCAGACTGTATTCTCTACGGAATTCTTTTTTCGACTTATGACCTCCACATGCGCATCTAATCCATCTGATAATCTACTCAATCGTCTGGCCCAAGATCCTTTTATTCCTAAAATAAATAATGAATTGTTAAAAATCATGTTGAAAGAGAATCTATTTTATAATTTCAGGAAACTTTGACTCAAATATCTTACGAACTGATCATTTATTCATAATTACACATACCAACTCTAGTGTCACTCCTAGAAGCATTATTGTTTTCTCTGAAAGCTTGAAGAAGTTCATCGTAGTCATACTCATTCTTTTTCAAGCCGTGTTCATATTTTGCTTCTTTTGCCAGTAATGATTCCCTTTGCATTTGAGTTTTCAACTGAAACGTGATATAAAAGAGAACCCAGATTTCGAAAGTGAGTTACAACAGAATTAAACACAATTTTCGAATTCCAATATTACATTAAGANCTCCGGATGTGTTTCACACCACAGAGCATGCAATCTCGCCATGTACCCTCTTCGCGCGGGCTCACTACTCTCGTAGCAATGCATAAGGCTATCTCTCAGCTCATGCGTCCACTCAAAGCGTCCGTTGTCGTTGCCAGGGTTGTCGTCGGTAGGCAAATCATCGTTATGGGCCCCACCACCTTGCCTCTGACCCCTCCGAGCGGGTCGATTGTGGGGGCCCCTTTCTTGATTATTGGGAACCAAATATTGGGTCCACCGGATGGTTAGACCTGTGGACCCACGGCCGGCATCGGAGGGAGAATAGAGTTCTTCTTCCCGGGTGCGCCTGGGCTGCCGGTACGGTTTTGCACCAGTTGCTCGGGTAAGTGGTGTCGCAACTCACCAAAGGCCAAGGGTGTTAGTGGCCATCCCTGGCCACTTATTAATATTATTATTATATCATTACAAGGGAAGATATGGTGATTTTTCCCTCTTCCATCACATATTGGCGACAGGACACAATATCATTTTCGAGAACACAAAAACATTAGCAAGCAATGAAAACTCATACTCTCGAAAATTCAGTGATGCTATCGAAGTTGAAAAACGACCCAGTAGTATGAATAAAAGGAATGACGCGCAAAGGTTACCAGCAACATGGAGATCCATCGTATCACTCCACAAAATCAAATAGACCGAACAACATCAAGAGCAAAACTCAGCACGTGATAATTCAGGCACAAACGTAGGTGGGCCAGCATGACCATTCAAACCAACTCAGATAGGGGAAATAACTCAGATGGAAGGTACCTGGCACACCTATAAATTAAAAAAAAGAGTTTCAGAGAATTAGTCTAGGTCCAAAATCCAGACATCACCACAAGATATATATACGGGTATATATATTCAACTTAGTCACGGGTGCAGCTATAGCAGCCTGCGTGACATACTTGTAATCACAAGGTCTTCCAACGATGATACGAAATCGCAGTTGGCCCCTGATGGTGAATCCGCTTGTTTGTTTTTGACCCCGTTTTCGCAACCAAGTGTTGTTTATGTTTTACACTTGGCTATACCGTACTGACGATGGCTAAATAGCCAGAAACACGTGCCTATGTTTTGCCCACTTTTCTATTAGTGCTTATCTAATAACTCATTTTTATAGATAATAGCATGTCACTCGATATCCATCTTTCTTGTTTGAATTATCTTGGACCCGGATGTCACGCAGGTTGCTATGGCTGCACTTGTGACTAAGTTGGGAGTAACTCCTTGTAATCACAAGGTCTTCGAACGATAACACGAAATCGCAGTTGGCACCTGATGGTGAATCCACTTGTTTGTTTTTGACCCCGTTTTTGCAACCAATAAGTGTTGTCCTTTACCCTTGGCTATACCGTACTGACGAAGGCTAAAGAGAAATAACGAATATCAAGAAAAGTAACTTTTTCGGGATGTATTCATTGGACGCTCTTGAATTGGTACCGTTCCAAATTCGAAAGTTTTGTTTGTTCACGTAATCATTCATCCAGAAATAGGCCTCACCGCTGAAGATGATTCTTCGATCAAATGGACTCGATGGACTCAAATTTATCACCACATAGCGAACAGTCCTCTAGGTAGGACAATTATGGCTACCGTAAAATGGGCGAACCGCGCGGTACGTTGTCCCAATAGAATACTCATTTTGATAAAACAATTTCATTATTTGCACGTGTTCTTGAATGTCATATCCATCCATGGTGATTTAGCAAAACATACTAAACAAATGACAACTAATTGGACATGTAGCTTCAACAAGATGGCCGTTATCAATTGTCAAAGTTCCTATTGGAAGACCCTATATTATAATTATCAATCATAAAATAAAATCTAAAATGGTGTTCTATTTGATTGTAGAAAAAAAGGGTGAAATTCCAATTAGGATCTACTTTATACTCCAGAAGTCTTTTCAGCATTATGTTATTTGTGCCAACATTTTCATTTTTTATTTCAGGGTAGAAAATGTTTTATGGAGAGTCCAAAATGGAGAACTAGAATTCAACACAAAAATGAAAGCAGTAGTCTTATTCGTAGGGACAAATAACATCGACTGCACTCCTCATGAAATTTTTGAAGGAATTTTAGAGATCATTAAGGAGATAAAACATAGGCTAGGAAATGTCGCTATAGTTTTACCGGTAAGCTACTCATTCGATTACGTATAGAAAATATTGAAAAATTGAAGTATTATTCAGATGTATTGACTCAAACTGTTCTTGTCTGATTTCAGAAACCTCCATTACCACACATCATTATAACAAGACTATTAAATCACTGTAGTAAAAATAAGAAATTGTAAACTTCTTGAATGACTTGTTTATTATTCGATTGGCATCAACAAAATTTGCAAATGGAATAAAAATACTTCCTTAAAATATATAAACATATCTACAATTCAAACAAAAAAAGTTAACGAAGGGTCTTTAGCCCAGCCTCTTTGACTTAGTCTTCTGTAGCCACATAACTGATCTGTTAGTTATCTTAGTTAGGAAATCTTAATTTCCGACTTCATAGCATATGAAGGTTGATAAAGTAGTTAATGGAACTATCTATCATCTGTGCATAATGTATAACTTTCAAAAGAGAGTACAACATATAACTGATGGTAAAAACAATGGAGGTGCATCCATTTCCGTGTCTTCGTTTGCTGAAGTTGATGTATCAATTCCCGAATAATATGCTAAGAGCAAGTATATTTCTATTAGCAGCTTATTTATTCTTCGGCAATTTCAATGACTGAATCTGTTGAAGTTTGTACCGATACTTGTTCCAGAAATAGTTCGTTACAGAAGTTATCAATTGAAATTACCTTCATTTCACCATAATGTGGGTAGGAACACATCTTTTCATAATTGAGGTGGCGCATAATGCCTCCACCTTAGATTTTTACTTCTTTAGTTTTTTTATTTTTAAATAAACGATATATTGAACTTTATACCACCTTTGAAGACTGATTTCTATTATTTTTTCTCATATATCAAATATAAGGTCAACTATTTAAAAAAGATAGATGACTAATTATTACTTTTTCCTTTTTTCGAAGTTCTGGAGTTGGAGGGTTGGCCGGCATTATTCTCCATTGATCACACCCCATACCAGAGAAGTGAATGACTATTTAATTCGAGAATCTTATTTCCTATTAGCGAACCGCCCCGGCTCCGCATGGGTGCAAAGCTGATAGTAAATATACATATGAACGTGTGCGATCACTGCTAACATAAAGAGCTATAGGGCGAAGCGCGGTTTTCAACGCGCTATTCATAGGAACGCGCCGCTGACCCCTCGGCCGGTACCATCGCAACCACTATGTCCCTGCATTTAAATCTGTGATATATTCGAGAATATTAATGTAAATTACATGATATAAAGGGTCATATTGATCTATATTGAATGCACAATGTATTCAAGGTACCTAATTGGTTAAGGATTGATGCTGTATTGCTTAAAATCGCTTCGTAAATAATGGCGTTAAGAGTGAAGAATTAAAAATAGTTATTGTGGGTTATCCCATCGTGGACTGTATTGCTTAAAATCGCTTCGTAAATAATGGCGTTAAGAGTGAAGAATTAAAAATAGTTATTGTGGGTTATCCCATTGTGGACTTTTTTGTATATATTTTTAAGGCGTACAATACTGTGTAGTACATTATTTTGCAATGTTAACGTAAAAAATGTGTTTATTTACGACATCAAATTAGAAACCTCTAAAATTATCTGTGTTTCTCTATTATAGTATGCATGATATATACATATAACATACATAAATAATATAGTCCTCTACATAAAATTAAAATCTGAACATTCCTCCAAGAGGTCATTTGATCAGACTCACCGTTTTAATAAAATGGACTAGGATTTTAAATTGGCTTCTTTAGTAACATACAAGCTTCTTCTCCAGCTAGGTCCATTAGTCAGCACAACTGTCAGTGTGACTATTCTTATACAAATTTGAATTTGTCGAAAAAGAAAATGAATGATACTACTTCTTACTCTTCGTTACGAAGATGACATACAAAAAATTCCTTTTGGATATTCATCATGTGGTTTCGCCTCCTTGATTATTTGCAGGTTAGACGGAGAGTCTCTATGATTATCAATTGCTTGCGGAATCATAGTAACTGTCGCTTGATACTTAAAATATACATGTTGATCTGGTACATTATTAGTGATTTTCAATATTACTGTCGAAAAAAAAGCGGATGGTTTATGGTATATTCTTCTTGCTCTTCACCCGAAGACTGAACTCGAGAAATAGCAATATAGAAGAAAATCCTGTCGTCGATGACGGATATTTCGTCAGAACCAGAAGCTTTTTCACAATCAACCAAAACCAACTCATCAAATGCTGGTCGGTGTCAGTTGCCAACCCTAGAAAAAAAACCTCTCCATCAGAAACTGGTTCTTTCAATCCACTATTGCATTTTTTCAGTTCTTCAATATTTAGCAACTGTTTTTCTTTTTCAGACTCTGCTGCCAAAGGGACAATATCCAAATCCCCTGAGAGATAGAAATGATCATGTAAATTTATTTTTGCTTGATAAATTCTGGAATGAAGCAAACGCTGATGAAGTCACAGAAAATGTTCATGTGGTAGTTATCGATGAACAAATAGTAGGCAATGATCAAACAATATCTCACCATATCATGCACGATTATTTACATCTAACTAATAGTGGTTATACTAAGGTTTTTATGAAAGTTTACGAAAAGTTATGTGAACTACTCAAAATAATTCCGGCCAATTCTAAGTGAATCAAATTATTCATTTATCCCTATAAGATACATTCGCAAGCTGAGTGTCATGTTCTTTCATATGTATTTGTTTGCATAAAATCAAATTGATGGTATTTTGATCATGCTGTTGAAATAATGATCGAAATCAATTTTCAAATTGCTGATGAATTGCCCATATTTTTATAGTAACATTACCCCTTTTATGATACGAAAAAGAAGAAAAAAATTGTGAACGCTGCTTATTCAATATGAATGTTACGATGCTAAATAATCGTAATATTCTGGTTTTGTAATTTTCCACTATCTCAGTGAATATTATTGTATTTATTTTCATTTCATTTTCATTTGGAAGTATTTCAATAAAACATTTTATTAAATATCGAACAAAGATTTATTACCATTTTTCCTATGAACTGTAATGAAAAACTAGTCTGAAACAGATTTCCTAGCTCGAAAGAACCATTTTCATGGTCTACTACTTCTGAATGTTCATTTGGATTTCGAACTAGGAGAAAAATTAATAACTTTGGATAATGATTTTACCAGCCATGGTTACCAACCATGTCAAGAAAAACAGAAAAATCAAAATCCGGGCTAGTGGTCAAAATGACCTTGTAATACCAAACGTTTCGTCTATTACTGCGGCAGATGTCTTCATTGCTGTATGCGTTAACTGTGAGGACATAGGTAATAGATAGATAGATAGATAGATAGATTTTATTTGACTACGTTATGTAAAAAGAAAAAACATTTGTAGCAAGTCATATCATTCAATATAAAATGTAAAACTAGGAAGAATGTGTCAGTTTATAGTAAAATACCGACTTAAATAAATATAACTGAAATACAAATTGCCTAAAACGCACGTACAGTCGTGCAATATTTAAAATAGAGGAAGAACTTCTTCATATATATATAAATACAATAAATGGGTTCTGCATATCAACGTACAGTGTTCTATATGTCCATGTGGGAAGATGCAAATTCTTCCACAGAGTAGAAACAATTTTTAAGAAGGTAACATTTTAGTTTTTTTTTGAAATTCTGTAGTGGATTAGGAAAAGATGACATATCAATTGATTATTATTTGTAAATAACATGAAATGAAGACAGTAAGCTAGATGATGGTTTGTTCAATTTTGGATAATATGGTCTTTTCACACATCAAATTTATAGGAGACACTTTTCCAAGGTTGGATCTAGTAAAAGGAGTATAGAAAGTGATCTGTCTACGTGTAGTAGCTTGAGGTACGTTGAAGTTAATTT